GTAGCTTCGACCCCAATCCGGGCAAAATTCAAAATTTCTAATTAACTTAAAACGCTCACTCGTATGACATTATGCAGTTGCGAGCGCTGTAAAACACTGTTAATCCCCGGGGAATTTTAGTTATCCGTGCTCGACTGTGTTAATTTTTGTTATCAGCAGTGATATTTGATGGCCCTATCGGTACAATTTTTGTAATTTAAGAGACAGGCTGCTTAGAACCCACCTGTCAGAGCCAACGAGAAACAACCCGGAAATGCTTTCTCCCAATTCCTGGAATCGAACTCATTTCATAAGGGTGCAAGGAGAAGATTCTAACCACTGTGGCGAAGGAACTGGTGTTGATTAGGTATCTTACAGGAAGTGAACATAATGTACACTGCAATTTTGAATTAAATAAACCTACGAACAACAACTAAAACAAAAAGAATCAACACAACTTTACAAAGACAATCTGTCCTTTTGGGTTCTATCACAACCCCTGTCACTAGCGTCGTGGTGAAGCGGTTAATAAGCGTTTCACCGTCGCATGTATAAGTCCTGAGTTCGATTTCCGTGTGGGGAGAATTGCTATCGAGTATCTCGACCTTTCCGCTGGAACGTTGTGTCCCTCTTGGCCAGAGTTGGCCCTGACAGGTACAGAGCAAGCCCGCCTCCTAAATTATGCAGATTGGGTCAATGGGGCGTCCAAACACCTGCATAACCCCCTGCCCCCCCCCCCACAAAAAACCAGAAAGAAAACTCCAACCTCTTACCCCCCCCAAAAACAACAAACAAACAACAAAACAACAAAACACCGCCTAATATTCATTCCCTATCCAAAAGACTAGAGTAATAAAATTGATTTACGTCCCTGTTGTCTGAATTAAGATCCGTTAGCCTTGATATTACGTGTACAAGAATACTGTAGAAATTCTTTTTTTAGGGGGGTTGTTATTGTGAGGCACTTAGAGCCTCAATAAAGTGGACTCCAAAAAAGCAATCTTTCATATTACTTGCATTATTATCGAGGTAGTGTGTGTGTGTGTGGTGGGGGGGGTTAGTGGGTTAGTACTGAAAAGACCCCCCCAAAATCCCAACGTAAAAAAGCGGTTCAACAAGTAGCCGAAACCTAGTGCGCATGTGTGTG